CAGCTGCTTCTCCATCAGTGTCACAGCTGGGATGTGAATTGGGCCCTTAGCAGGGAGCAGTTGCAAATCTGGATGCAGAAGAACATACTGGGCACACGGATGTGGAACAATATCCCACGTTTTCTGATTAAGCAGTTTTTCCTTTGCCCTTAGCTGTTCCACTTCCATTTAGCCCTGGAGAGTACGTCACCCCAGCTGCACTGGTTTGTCACCATGTGATGGAGTTTCAGGTAGTTGCCAGCGATTGTTGCTTGGATCAAAGGTCACCAAGTATTTCCTTACAGATGGTGTCACATAAAAAAGCAGGAAGGCAGATTGATTTCTGACAGACTAACCAGCACATGCCTGGATTTACAACAGTGATGGGAACCACCATCAGCTGGCTGGGCACGTCACTGAAAGGTAAGAGAATGCAGAGCCCAAAAAAGGAGGAGTCTAGCATGCAGTGAGGTGACCTGAAGGGAGCAAGTTATAAAAACTGAAGCAGTTTGTTGGTGTTTAAGAAACTCTGCTCCCTCCAGCCTAGGGAAGAAGGCAGAGCAGGGTGCCAGCAGCCCTGGGCCTGCGTGAGGACACCCACAGGGAATTCAGAGGTGGGTCTGGAAGCTCTCTGCTCTGGCTGGAACTGTTTTCTACCATCTTTGAACACAGCAACCAGTTAGATTTTTTCAGTGTCTCAAGCAATGTTCCAAACCGGACTTGTTAAATTCATGTTTCATGTGTTGTAGGTGCATCAAATTTCCAGTCAGGCTGGGGAAACGTACAGAACTTAAAACTTTTCAGACTGGAAAGAACGACAGTCTGGCCTACAGCAGAGCTGCTTTTCCAGTCTAACACCACCTAAAATTTTCAGGGATTTCTCTGCTATTCAGGCATTCCCAGCATGCCCCAGGTCTGAGAGGGAAACATCTTAAGAGGGTTCCAGACATCTGTTGGTTGCACAGGGGAAGAAACAACCACCCAGCCTCTCATTTCTCTTGTATGGATGAATACAATGCAGAGTAAGACTGCTGAGGGAGACTGGTATTCTTTGCTGTACACAGACACCTTCCATGCACTGAGGGGGTTCATTACTACAGCTCCCTAAAACTTGTCCTTCAACTCCTCCCTCTCTAGGGGAAAGCAGATCTGGGAGGCACCAATTCCTCTCTCTGTCTTGGCTTTCCCCCCATTCTACCAAATGTAACCGGACTGAAACAAACGGCAACTCACCCACCAGTGACTGCCCACATTCCCATTCCAGCTCTGGGTCCTTGTGACTGGGGAGGGGCCAGAGGATGCTGCACCATCACAGCAGGCACAGAAGAGTTGTGCCAGAGAAAAGAGGCTGGGGAAGGCCAGGCTGGAGTTGCCGGTCTGCGGGGCCTCTGGCTAATGCAAGTAACTCCTAAAAAAAAAAAAATTAACTCTTGGAGTCACTTTCTGAATGTTGCAGTAAGAGCCGCCAGCCTCCACTTCAGCTGTAGTCTCTGCATTGAGGATTGTTTCCAAAACGCACATCCACCACAGTAAAATGCAATCTATTTTATTGGTTAATTATATACAGGAGATTCTTGATATTCACAGTAATATGAGACAAGTTACCTCCACAAAGAGCAAGAGTAAAAATGACAGTCCCCTGTAAACAAAACTAGAAATCCTGCTGGATTTGGTGGGACTGGCTCCAGACAAACTGAAAAGGCACTGAAAGGAAAACAACAAAAGTCAGTCGATGAACACAGCCCAGATACTTTGGGCACTTCTTCCAAGATGATAATCCAGAGGCACAGCGTGTGGAGACCAAACATCAGAGTACAAAGACAGATGCGGGACCTCACATTCCAAGCATGCTACACATGTGTTGATATACAAATTTAATTTATTCAAGTCTCATAATCAGAGTCCTCACCTCCCTCCAAGCACTACTTAATGCGAGTTTAGCATTAGCAGGACAACTTCAAATACAGCAGAAAGGCTGGGACTGCACCAAAAAGCAGTCGGTGGAAACCATCAGTAGGGAGGCCAGGTTTTGCTCAGACTCTCACAGACCAAACAGCAACCTGGGCCAATAACATGGCACCTGGTGGACCAAGGGGAGGCTGGGACACAGGGAGGTAGGTGGCTTCTCTGGATTGTTGACACTGAACCAAAAGAAAGCATGGCCAAAGCTGGCAGGGAGACATGGACTGGAAACATCCCTTTCTCAGTTGTGCCTTGCTGTATCAGCGAGCTCAGAAGCAGAGAGGATGCAGCCCTCCATCTTTTCTCCTTAACCACCTTCCCTTCAGACCTTCCTTTGTGCACCCCTCCCCAAAGACTAGCCTGAGCTCTCATTTCTAACTTTGGGTACTGCCCAACGCTCAAACCATTGTTCTTACAGGCTCCTGGAAGGGAGCTGGGGCACCTGCGAGACACTTGGGAGACTTCTGCCCAGGTTCCTGCTCCACAAGCGACCACTGCTAGGTCAGGGTCACGTCCCTCTCTGCACACTGGAGAAAGCTGTGAGCCTCTCTTGTGTAAGCACAGGTAGGAGATGACCCTTTGAAGATCGAGGTACTCATCCTTGGAGGGGAAACAATTTCAAGGGCACAGATGCTACATGTAGAATGAGGCAGAAAAGCTAACGAGAACCGAATTTGTATTGTAAAAGCCACAGCTATTGCCTAATCTCCAAGTCATCCATCTCTGATCACTTGAATCAGATAATTCAAGTCTGTTCACTTGCATACAAGGAAAGGTGGCTAAAAGCAAGAAGATCAGGCCAAACAGAGGTTCTATTTTAGAGAAAGACACAGCAAGAGGTATATGAAGTAACTAGTGTCATCACACAAAGCCACTCGTGACTATACCCTATAATCAGACATCCCTGAAATGACAACAACTCCAGCTCGTTCAAGAGAAACCGATCAGAGCAGCGTTGGCAACACCAGCTCTGAAATCCTTCAGGGATCAAGCCCCCACAGTGTAAAGCTTTCAAAACATAAACCACCATCTCCAGCACTCAACTTGCTTCAATTTTCTCTGACAAACACTAAGATTTCCTCATGGTTCTCTTGCAGGGATGGGCAGGGTCTGTGTTCTGCTCTGAGAGAGGCATGATTGCTTAAAGGGCACAGAAGGTTTTTACCTTCGTGACAGATGCAGAGAGAGGGCATCGGCATGTCCTTCTGCAGTCTGTTACAGACATAACTCCCTTCAAAGATCAGACTGGGGAAGAGCTTTTCCTCTCTCTCATCAGGAGCTGGCTAGAATTTTTTCATGAAAATAACTTTGCCTCTTTCACCCAGATGCAAATTTGCTACAGAAAGCAGCTCTTTAGAAACCTAAGCCTGCTTTTAACTCATCTCCCTTTATTCTGTATTTGCACTGTCCAAAGATGTCCAAATAAATAGCTGGCATCAATCCAGGACAGCTGACTTCAGGTGGTGCAATTCAAGATCCTGGTAGTGGCAGTAACAGATTTCCTGCTGCCTTTCCAAGAGGGTGGTAGGGTGAGGGTGGGCTCTGTGCTGAGGTAGTGGCATCAGCACAGTGAAGAACCCACATACACAGGGATGGGTCTCGCCCTGTAAGGCTTCCGGGCTAAAGAAATGTAATTCCTCTTCACAAAGATGAGCTTTCCTTACACGGCTACTGCTAACAGTGTGACTAGTACCATCTCTGGAAAAAAATAAAAATAAAAAATGCTACTGCATGTGCCCAGATACTTTATCTCTAAAGGATTCCCTGTTCTCATGGCACATCCCAGACATCAGTCCCACCCTGGAAGCTGTGCCTGTTTTTCAGTGCCCTTCTGAAAATCCCACCATCTTCCTTTTCAGCCAGTTACAGGCACAAATTGGGCATTGTGAGTAGAATGAGGATTCCAGCTTCGCAGCATACTCTGCCTGACATTCCCTACAACAAGCAGCAGTTTAATAACGAAGTTTAAAAACACCTCCCTAGAAAACCCAAAGCATGTTCTGGGCATCACACATGCAGTGTGCTGGTTTTGCCTGTGTCACAGCCTGGCTTGACTGTGAAACGTGTAGAGCTCACGGCACTGAACGCGAAGCTCTTTACTGCACTACAACACTTGTCCACCACTGGCACTGATAACTCTTGCACCTCCAAGCTGACATGGTCACAGCATGATTACTAAGACAAAGAGGAGTCATCTGGGTCAAGAATGCTTTTTAATCAGCCCAGGCTGCTCCAGATTTAGTCTGAGAAGAGACCAAAGGCTGCTGTAGTCCTATCTTTTCTTTCTTCTCTTCCCCAAATCTCTCCTTTACAGGAACATGGGTGGTTTCCTTCCTTCATCTCAATCAAGGAATGCCCTCTTCAGACATTTTAGCCTTTAGTGTCATGAAATCATTATTTAGCTCTTGCCTTATTTACAGAGCTACTTTTAGTAAACCCAAAGTCTAGCTCTAGATCCATCCAGATGCAATTCAACATGAAGTAAATGTGGGTTCAATGGTTTATCTAAAATCTTTTTGCCCTGTAAATACGCAATTGTTGTCCTGTGTCTACTCGATGTATTTCCATGATTGGGAAGTGAAAGCAGCCAAACCAAATGCTATCACTTGAAGCTGAGTAAAGCTGCTGGATATATCAGAAGATTAACAACACTCATCATACTGTGATGGGCTTGGAGGCCAGACTCATGTAGATCCCCTGGAGCACGTGGGTCACATACTTAGTCAAAGTACTCCCTTGCCAGGACACACCTGAGTGTGTCTGATGTGCAGTACCAAATCTTCCTCAGAGGCTGAGCTCTTCTGCATCAGAAGGTGTCATTGGCCCCAAAAGCCACAATGCCAGGGCAATCTCCTCCCCTGGCATTATGTACATATTGAAAAACTGTAAAATTAAAATGGCTATTCACACACATAGGCTCCATTGGCAACTTTGATCTTTACCTACTGTTCATAAAACTCTCACAGATGAGCATTTACAATTTAAAAATAAAATGTTTTGGTGTTTTGGGTTTTTTTTGTGAAAAAAGAACAATTTCTACATTTCTGTCAGCCAACTAATTTCAATCACAGCGTAATCTAAGAATAAAGCAAATCCTAGCCAAGAACGGCTACCACGGGACCCTCAAGAGTCAACCCTGCTGCCAGCCTGCAGCAAGGGGGAGCAGCATACCCCAGCTGCTCACATCCCTACAGCCCAAATAGGAACTTGTGGTGAACTCCAGTTGATTTTCTTTATATTGATTTTCTTTCAGTTTAGGAACGATCCAGTCCTCATGACGGCTGCACTTCAAGAGAGCAGTGGGGTAGAGAGGCTTCTGGGCAGCATCCAGGTTAATGGCAGTGCTCTGTGATATCCACAACAACAGCCTTTTTCCAGCTGAAGAAGAAATAGCCCATCCCTGCCCCTGCTGTCACAGCTATGCAGAGGTATCCATTGTACGTCATGAAGATCAGCATGAGGAAGTAACTGACCACAACTTGAATGATGTGCAGTACCGTCTGCAGGAGGTGAGGGAAGCTCAGCATCTGTTGTCTGAGAACACAAAACCCAAAGAACAGTCAGCATCCATGAGACACAGGCCAGAAAATGCACATCCCCAAAGAGAAAACTTAGCTCTTAGGCTGACAGGATGCCAAGGTGGCCAGAGAAGATAAAAAAGCAGGTTGGACATAGACTTCAGCATGCATCTGTCACTTGTAACTGTGTTCTTCCCCACATAGCTGACTGGTAACAAAGAAAGCATGGTACTTTCTGGGAGGACAAAACTTTTAGCTGAGAAACACACTTCTAAAGGCTTATTTTACCTCCTCATCCAATAAACAGAATGGCTTCTTTTCTGAGTAGAGGCTTTGACTACCTGTCAGCAGAAGGTTCCTAAGTCTTTTCTGTTAGAGTCACTGGCTAATTAATTCTGTTCCTGGGAGCTCCCCAAATGTGTTTGTTACTACTCTGGAAAAAGCAAAGCTTATCTGACTCCTTGCTGCTTTCCTCCTTTTGTCCCCTTTCCTAAAGGGTGGCCAAATGACTCAAGCACAGCATCCTCCAGTGTCAAGCAGTGTCCCAATCTGGAGTCAATATACTTTGCCGAGAGTAATACTGGCTGCACAAAGATTTTTCTGTCCCAGTTTTCGCCTTTGTCAGCTGCTGAAGAAATTGGTCTTAGGATGAAGTGAAATTCTTACCCAACAGTTTTGTGCGTCTCCATCAAGATAGTGCCATTGGGACCTGGCACTGGCATGGAGTTGTAGCGAATGTTGACTTGGGATTTTCGGAGTAGACACTCTCGGGCAATCTTAAGGCCTTCATAAAACATGGCCAAGAAGAAGACAGCCACAAAAGCACCAGCCATTTCTGACAAAAAAGGAAACATTATTGTATCCGTGCAACAAAAGATGTTTGCTTCAAAATACGTCAGAGACACTGTATGATTCAACAATGGCGTCACACTGCACAGGCTATGGCTGGGCACTGTGTGCATGCATGCACAGATGGTAAATGTGAATTTCATCCATACACGAATGGGAATTTCACCCAAGAAGTGAAACCAGCAATCACTTTTGCTAATAAGACCAGTCAAATTCTCAAACTATACAAACATCTCCCTTTTTCTTTCACCCCACAGACGCCATTTTAAACAGACTCAACACAGTGTGCCTGCATATTTTGGCATAAATTGCAAACTTTTTTTTTGGAGTGGACAAGACAATTTTACTAACCTCCCGGAGTATTGATTATAAGTCCAGAAAACAGCAATGGCACATTCTGATAGCTGAAGTGGAAAGTCATTGCCTGTCCAAAACAAAGAACATCAAGATGAGCCTGAACAGCTCAACCTGAGATGGAGCTCACAACAAGATTTAGCAAAGGTTTTTGCATTATGACTAGATCATTTCAGTTGGTCACCGGATAGACTCAGAGAAACTCTTCAGTAAATCTAGTGTAACACACACAAGCAAGACATGGCTAAAGATGCTCCAGGTTCCAGTTCCAGTGGGCAGCTCTTAGGCAGTGCCCCTGGGCAGAAAGCACTGTCCTTCCCAGTACCTGCTACAGAAAAGTGCCTTCTCCTTGCTTTTGGAGCTCCTTTTCTCCTCAGCATCAGAAGTAGCAAGGGATTGGGGATGTCTCTGTGGAGCTCATCCTTGCCTCTTCATGACTACTCATGGGCTGGGGTACAGGGCACTTTCTTCTCCCCACCTTGACCTCATATGAGCTCACATGGATAAGGGCTTGTATAGCTGAGTCCTCTGGTCGCATCCTGCACCATGTCAGCAGACCATTCTCTCCCTATAGAACCTCCTAATATCCTATTATAAGTAGAGGCCTAAATACAGGTACAACAAGGAGTATTATATATAAAGCAGGACAACAGCTTCCTGTGGGTAAAAATAAGGGCTCCTGAACCTGCATAGTGAATGCTGTGGGAAGGGGAGACATTAATGATGTCCCGGGCCAGCTGGAGTTCATATAATCTTCCCGTCCAGCTAAACACATTGCAGTTTAGCATGTCTTGACCACAGCTGCACACAGTGTTTTCATATGTAAAGTATTCACTAGAGTAGCTAGAGGAACTTCTCTTTGAACTCCCCTCACTGCTTAATTAAGGTTATTTGCTGAAGATCTGAATTATGATTAATTTCAGCATCCATAAGAATCATCATTCATTCATTACCCTCAGTGCAGAAATTACTATAAAACATCTTTTAGAGAGCACTTCCATTTCTTTAATGAATTTAACATTTTTACATTTAAAACAGAAACCACACAAACCACGGAGCGTTACAGCCTAGTTCCGTAAACCACAGCTGAAACAGAGCCTGTTACTTGGTGCAAGTGAGGAATGGGAATATGCACATATTAAAATGTGTTCAGTCTATTATCTAAGATGTTGTACCTATTTACTTTCTTCCCTGACAGTTTTATCTGCAATGTTAATTCAAAATCTTGTGCGATTAATCACAGTTTTCAGTCGCAGGGTAAGGCAGGGTCCTGTAACCATCCACTGAAGATAAGAGCACTTGACACTTGTAAAGAAACAGCATTTATGTGGAAAGTAACAGATCAGAGAATGCCAATAGTTAGCTGTTAGATTTTATGAAGACCTTCACAAGGACATCAGTGACAATGCTGGACTGCAAGTTCCACTAGCACTACTGGGCTTTGTACTGGGCCATGTTCACAAGGGGGAAGGCTGTTCTGGTCCTCTCTTCTCTTGCTATGAAACTGTTTGCAATATAAGTAGAAGCAGTGATTCTTGATTCCTTCTTCGGAGCACATAGCTGGCAGGCAAACCTTAACTGAAGGCTTGCAAAATATACTCCTGAGTGCATTCTCATTTGAAATGGAAATGCAACGCTTTCTCCTCTCCTTTCAAAGTTTAACCATAAAGAGTCATGTTTTAATAATCTAAAACTTACTCCAAAAGTATTTAGAAAAGGAAGAAAAAGCTGAAAAAGTCCCTAGAACTGGTTACACACACACACAGATCCTACGGTCATCTCCATGGAAACTCGGGCCAAGATCTCTGCAAAGCTTCAGTGACGCCAGCATGCACACGTCTGAACTTGTTTAAATCAAAGTTAGCTAGAACAGCAGGATTCAGGACCTTAACGCTGATGTGACAAAGAGCGCTGGTAGCACTTTGCTCCCCAAACCGAGTGTGCACTTAAAGTTCAGAAGGAAAAGGGCACAGAGGTTGGTTGCCTGCAGGTCAGCACAATCCATCATACTACTGTGCAATCCTCTCAGTGCCAGTTAAGGCTTTTGCTAACACTAACAGCCTGGAGAACTCCATCCATCTCCTTTTCTTGCAGGAAAATGCTTACTTTGCATTTCTGCCTTTAGCTGGCTAGAAAGCAGACACCAAGCTGGCTGCTAGAAAGGTTTTCGCAGGAAAAGACCATTTTGCCAAAGGGTCTGCAGCTCTGAAATACATTTCATGTTGCATATCACCTCAAGCCACTCCTTCATTCCAGAAGAGCCACAATGGGGTCTGTGTTTTACCTGGATTGATTCATGCCTTCCAAAACTAAGTTCAATTTCCAATTATCAAGAGCATAGTCTTTAAGATGACAAGTTACTCTGAATCACAGACAAGAAAAAGCTCTCTGGTTAATTATGACTTTTCCACTTACCATCATCATCATCATGCCAGATTCATGATCATGTCCTGAAGCTGCCATCGAGTGGTGATGTTCAGGAGGATGCGTGGTTGGCAACATGGAGCTGTTCATGTGATCATGAGACATCTTTACAACCGAGATATTCAAAAAGGCACGTAGGAAAGTGGGACCCTGAAAAACAAACAAAGAAACAAAAATAAGAAGCACTTTTTAAAACAGAATATGGTTTCTCTACTTTCTCTAAGCCACTGAGAACTACTGCCTCTGGATACACTTCTGGAGCATCCTCATGGTCCTGCACTCTGCGTACAGAGAACACACAGCAAAGCGAGCAGGACAATTTAAAGGAGGTGTGTCCCTCTGAGCTTTACATCATTGTATTGCTGCACCATCCTAAACATTCTTGCCAGAAAGACAGCCTAATCTGATTGAGGTAGCACATGGGGACAAGTGCTCAGTATAAAGGAACATTTCTTATCTGTAAGAGGAAAAAACCCAAGTCTCTTCTCAATTGCAGGCATGCCAGAGGCAAAAAAGTCTCAAGCCCCATTTTAAATTGCATATACTAAAGGATCAGATTACAATATTTCTCTTAATTGACAGTTATGCATTTTATTGGGAACATGTTTAACAAAGAAATTATGTTAGGTGGTACAAGACCTATTATCAGGCAAAGGTCTGCAATAGCCACAGGCAATCCAATTTCATTTCCATGAGCTTTACATTGTCACATCTCCCCTCTAATCACATTACACACAATGAGAGGAAACACTCAAAAGGCTGCCAGTCCAAATCCCTAACCTGGTTACTGCAAATCAGGTATGTCTGGACACACTACGTTAAAAATACAAATACACCTCGTGGTTAGATGTGGACGTGGCTTCGGCAACTCTGCACCCCAGCACAACGTGGGATGGAACCAGGGACAATTTCTGGTGTGAAATGAAAAGTCACCAGGTGGAAACAGCAACAAGAGAGAAAATAACCTGGGAATACCAGAGAGTCCTGAAACAGCATCCGTCAGCATGACAGAGCCAGGCAAAGGCAACCCTAGCACAGTCAAGGTGAGATGACACTAAAGACAAGCAAGTACCAACACTGCTGTGGTAGACCCCGTCTGGAATACTGTGTACTCTCCCAGTCTCGTCCAGCACTCGAGTAAAACCAACTGAAATAAAAAACAAAGTGCAGATGCTTTATCAAATTAAAGTTTTTTTTTAAAAAAAAAAGAGAGAGAGAGAGGAGATGTACTTCCTTCCAGATAAATCATCAGGAATGTTTACAACTGGGGAAAAAAAGAGCTTTTTAAGCTAAAAGAAAACAGGGTGCTCGAATAGATAGGCACGAACGTATTTAGGTTGAA